TTTCTATAAAAAAAAAAGTTCTGTATATTAACTATCGATTCCTATACATGCTATATGCTTTTATAGAAAGTGCATCATTCGAAAAGTAATGAGATAGGGAAGATCAGCTGAGAGCTTAATCTTTTATGCCTTTAATATTTTTTTGAATAAAAAATTACTGTTATTTCTCCCTCGTTCTGTTAATTATTTCTAGTCATCCAGGCAACTTAATTTTTTTTTTTGCCCACAAAGACCAAATTATTATAAGCGTTACAACGGCTTTTTGTAGATTTTTACCTTTAGTTAAGGTTACGATTGCGTCTGGATTACGATTCCCGACATTTTATTTAATTCCTCTATGTTTATTCCTAATATGTTAATTAGGCTTTCAGTCATGTCATGACGAATGTAATGAATATACAATATGTTACAAAACGTTTTAATTTACTATTGTAGCTGAAAGTTCTATAATTTATGCTTCGTTATTTTGATTTAATCTAAAATACCATATTTTCTTCGCATTTGTATAACCAAGTCGATCCATTCTTCTAATTTGAATTTTTTATTAAATCTACCGATATGGAACCGCGGGATACTAAGTTGGTGGGTCCATTATTTCAAATCCAGCAACACTAATATAGTTGCTGAATTGAAGTTTGATTCGATTTGGTAATAACTCATCATTATAGAATGCTAGTCTGGACAATTTGCGGAAGAGATAGAACAATTCGATTTATTATTCGTCTTGAGATAAAAAACCTTTCTTGATGCCCGTTTGAAAGTGAAAAAAAAAGAAAAGAAAATGCGTTCGTTTTTAAAAACGCAATAAAAAAATGTTGAGACTTCTAATAGATAGTAATTTTAAATTACAATTGTTATATATCAATTATTTTATCGATTAGAATGATTAGATTTCGAAAGGATAGATCGAAGAAAAAGAAAAAATAAAGAAATAAAGTAAAAGGTAGATAACAACTTAAGAGTATGTACACGAGAGGAGAAAACAATAGACGAACATCCGTTTATATTTAACTTTACACGCGCGCATTTTTAGTATGATAGGAGCCAGCGAACATAGTCGAAGTTATATTAATTAAACTATCCAACTACAAAATGTAAAGAAACATGATGAATTGATGTTACCTTCAATGCGTGCATTACTATCTCGTGTATTATTACCAAGCAATATAAGTAAATAATACTTATGGCAAAATACTTTTTGGACAGTATTCTTTTTTAATACTATTCTACATCTATAGGTGGCGAAAAATGTGTTTTTCAAACTAGTTCTTAGTTCCTTTATTGCTTCTAGTTCCTCTATTATATTTATTTTCATCTTTATATTTTTTATGTATTATTTTTGTAATACTTTATAAATAAGTTCTTTTTTTGTGATAAAAATTTTATACGAAGTATAAATTCTTTGGATAAATTTGTCCGTATTATTGTTTCTATTTATTCTCTAGAGAAATTCAATATAGTGTAAATTCACTATATAGTTTGGTATCAATGGTGTGCATTTCTTTTCGTCTCCTGAAATACGGCGAGTAGGTGTTGCATTAGCATCGATTCTTTATCTAACTGTTAAAATGGTAAGCAGATTTATATGATTAATATTAGTGATATCGAGAATCACAATTTCTTAGTTTTGAAGAGAATAATTTTTGAAAAATAAACTTGAAGGATGCTTCGTATTCCGAAAGATTCAATAATTGTCGAATAGCTGTAATTTTTTCTACCATTAAAAACGTGTTGAGATTCTAATAATATTGTTTTAAACATATGGGAAAAGTTTTTGAAAAATTATCGAAAAATTTAGTAAAAACATTTTCGTAAATGTCAGTCTTTACAAAATGTTTCACTTTGTGTACATTTTAAGATATTGTTTAATTGTGGAATTAATTTAATATACCAATAATATATTTATTGGTTAGTTATGAATATAATTTACACAAATTTTACTATTCTTTTCTTTTTTTCATTAATAGCACATGCTTCAAAAGAACTAATTTAACTTTCTTTTTATAGGGTTTTGTGAAAGTTGTTAAAAATAAACAGTACTTTAAACGTTATCAAGTCAAATTCAAGAGGCGTCGTGAAGGTAAAACTGATTATTATGCACGTAAAAGATTGACCATCCAAGACAAGAATAAGTACAATACTCCTAAATACAGGTTGATTGTTCGTTTATCCAATAAAGATATTACATGTCAAGTAAGTTATATAATATGAAATACCTGTTCAATATTATATATTATAAAATATACATTTAGTATTGTTTAATAATTTTTTCTTTTATAGATTGCTTATTCACGAATTGAAGGAGATAAGATAGTTTGTGCTGCCTACAGTCATGAACTTCCAAGATATGGAATTAAAGTTGGACTTACCAATTATGCATCAGCTTATTGTACTGGATTGTTGGTAGCTAGAAGGGTAACTATTTCTATTTAAATTCCTTTATATATATTGTAAATGCATATATTTTTATCAAAATGATGAACAACTCAGCTCGCTTTGATTTATAACTGAAGAAATATTGTTCCCAAAATATAATTCTGATACATCAATTCTCTAGTTATTATAAGATACAGCCATATTGTATAGGTAAATATATGTATGTAATATTTTTTTTCGTACAGCTCCTTAAAAACTTAGGCTTAGATACATTATATCCAGGTACCATTGATGTAACTGGGGATGAATACAATGTGGAAGAATTAGATGATGGTCCAGGTGCATTTAGATGTTACCTAGACACAGGTTTGACACGTACTACCACTGGTGCTAGAGTGTTTGGTGCTATGAAGGGAGCAGTAGATGGAGGTCTTAATATTCCTCATAGGTAAGTGATAGTAAGTTTGAAAGATTGCTTTTATGAATTAATAAGTATCTAATCATTATTCAATTATTTTCGTGATGATTTTTTGACACATGCGCGTCATCTGAGTCACAGCAAAGTTTACGTCTTTCCTTGTGTTTTACAGTGGCAATTTGTAAACTTTGCACCGGCATAAAAGATTATAAAGTGTCTCTGATAACTCTTATCTTCCTTTTTTTTTCTGTATATGGCAATAAATACTTCATCATAATCATTTTGTTTTTATTAAATAGCACCAAAAGATTTCCAGGATTTGATAGTGAATCAAAATCTTTTAATGCTGAGGTACATCGGAAGCATATCTTTGGTCAACATGTTGCAAATTATATGAGGACATTAGAACAGCAAGACGACGAAGTTTACAAGAAACAATTCTCTCAGTATATTAAGAATGGAATTGTTGCTAACAACGTAAGTAAATAATATATATTATTACTTTCTATATATTATAACGTCTAACTTAAAATTACTACTAGATATATCAAGCTATGTAGTGTCGCTGTTGGACAATAGAAAATAACATTGGTTATAAATAGATAAATGTATTTACAAATACATTTTACAATGTAATCTCTGTTAACAGTTCTATCAATCACAAATTTATGAGTACAACTTTGTATGCATGAGTAAATATAAACTTTTTTTGTAGATCGAAGATATGTACAAAAAAGCACATGAAGCCATACGTGCTAATCCAGAACACGTAAAAGTTACGAAGGATAAAGAACCTGTCAAGAAAAGATGGAATCGTGCGAAACTCTCATTGTCCGAACGTAAAAATCGTGTTGCTCAAAAGAAAGCGTCATTCCTCAAAACTTTGGCAGAATTGGATGCCTAAAAATCTTATTTTATGTTTTGCCCAGCCTTTTATCGAGCATCGTATTTTGTCACAGTGTTTGTATTTGGTTGTATTTGGCATGATAATAAAATAAGATGATTAAAGTATTATTTTTATTAAAATATAAATATTTTTTAATAGCAAAATTACTGTAATCAAATATGATTATATATGAATTGATTGTCTGATGAATGTTTCCGTTTATGCAGAATTTTTGTATATTTTCTAAAATTTTGAATGTAATGACAACATATTTCTATTGAAGATTGTAATATTTTGTAGCTATAATTTATTTGTAGAGAGAAGTTTGAAGACAACAGTTAAAATTTACTTTTATAAGAGTAGTTCAATGACGGTCGTTTCTGTGCTTGATAGGGATTTGTGTGTTTTTAGTGAACAATCCACTATGTAGAAAGGAACTTTGCACATCAAAAAATAATTGTGGTACATTTATTTAACTTTGTCAGGTACACAGTAGTTTAATCGAACTATCACTCTTAAAGCTATGGCTATGGTCTTGAGAAGAATCAAAGAATGAATGAATGAATGAATAATTTCTTTTTTGTCCCCGACGTCTTTGTCATCTCTTGTTTTCGGCCTTTTTGTGTCTTTCATTTTGGTTGGTTTTTTACGTGTGTGTGTGGTGACGCCGAGACGTATTAGTTATGTGTCTTGCCGGAGGAGGCGTAACAGTCGCAACGAGGTCGCCACAGATTGACAACATAAGCGCCACCTATGTTTCTATATGTAGTACAAGTTCAAAAGAAATATTTTATTAAAGGATATATGTTTAATTAGAATAATTTTCTAATATATAGTAAAATTTTTAAAAACAATTAAGATGCGAATGTAAACTTAATAAATAGTATTAGGTTATTTATGGATTATTATTTTGCACAATATTTTGATGCGTATTTATTTCTAATATATATTACAATAAAAATGAAATAATTACATAATTCAACTTGAAAAATATTTCGTTAATATTTTTCAGATAAATCAAAATTAGTAAAATCTCTATAAAAAAAGAAGTTTTGTATATTGACTATCGATTCCTATACTTATTTGTACAAAGTGTATCATTAGAATCCTAAACATGTTTTATACATATTGCGTCATTAGAATAGTAATAATAGGAAAGATCATCGAAGATCTTGATCTTTCATGGATTAAAAATTTTTATGAATAAAAAATTATTGATATTTCTTTGTCGTTCTGTTATTCATTTCTAGGTATTCGTTGTATTTTTATCTTTTTTGCGCGTGAATTCTACGTTTGCCGTGTGATAAGTAGAAGAGAAAAAGAGGAGGGGAAGAAGTGAATATTAAAAACATAAATAAGAAAAATATATAGGATTAACGCAGTATCATCCGGCGATTCACAATGGAACGTGCCATAATGGAGTTGTATCGGTTTAATCTTGACGATATATTTGATTAGTGTGACGTTCGTAATGCCTTTAATAGGATTAGAAGAGGACACAATGAATACCATTAGATAATATCGTCATGTTGGGCAGTACTGGATACGATCAATTGATAGTCTGTGTTCGACATTGTTCTTCGCATAGCGCGCTGGGAAGCGTCTTATACGCTGCTAGCAGACGACATATGCTTTGGATATCGTTGATACAAAAACATATTTGACAATCTTTTAATAATTATTATTAGTAATTGGTTCCTACGAAATGTCATCGCCAACACAAGTGGTTAGTAAATATAATGAAAATATTTTTCTCATTCCATCAATGTTTTCATTACGCTATATTTATATCAGAAATATAACGCATAAGCAACTTCAGTTGTGTCTTTCTCTTTCATTGTTATCAATCAGAAATATAACAAAGAAAAAAACGTCGGTTTGAAAAATGAAATTTGAAAAAATGATTCGTTTTTGTTTATTGTGATTATGGAATTAAAATTCAATATTTACGTTTGAATAAAGTTATTACAGTGATAAATGTGATTTATTTTTTTAGAATATAAATAGAAGTTTGCTTTCTCTTTCTCTCTTTCTTTCTGTCTCTCTTTTCCTTTGTTTGTTATTTTCTTTGTCTCTATGTTATCATACTTGCACATATACTACTTTATTTAACATATATCATTATATCATTTTGATAAATTTAATCTTGTTTACTAAAGACTAAAAGTTGTCTTTTTTCATTTGCTGTTTGCAATTAAATATAATTATACTATTTATACTTTTAGGAAGAATCAAATATGTCCTAAATTATTGTTTTTGTTAATTATAAATATTGTACGAGTATAGAATCCTTTATGTTGCAGATAAAAAGTGTTGGCCCAAAATTAGTTCCATTTTTTAAAAGTGTGTCTGTATATTTTGTACTATTAGCAGAGCAGCCGTCTTTATTAACAGCATGCTTCAAATGTTTGCCAATAATAAGTCTTATCATATTTGTTTTGTTACATGGAATTAGTTTATCCAAAGAGTAAGTTTGATATAATTTCATATTGCATTTTTTTATAAAATTATATTAATTGTATTCAATTGTAAGTAAATAATTACTTATTATATAAGCATTTGTATAAATATATGTATACATATTTTTATAATTTACAGGTATACCTTTTCTAGACGTATTTTAACAGGTTTAGTCTTCAGTTGTATAGGAGATGCTTTGCTAGTATGGCCAAATTGTTTCATTGCAGGAATGTGCATGTTTGCTATTGCTCAAATCATGTACATCTATGCATTTGGTTTTAAACCGATAAATTTGGTACTTGGTGCTATAATGTACACATTATGTTCCCTAGGTAAAAAATATCTTGATATTTATGCTATTAGCATAACATGGAATAACAAAAGTCCTATGTTTCAGTCATATGTCTTTTAATGCCTGGTCTAAGTGGTATTCTAGTCATAGGTGTTCCGATTTATACAGTGTTATTAACTACAATGGCATGGAGAGCCATCTCACGAGTACAATTTTTTGGGGTTAGTATAAATTATTTCATTTCTCATAATAAATAATAATTATTTTAAAATTTAAAGAATTATTGATTTAGTTGAAATTTTTCTATAGAGTTCTATTCTATTTATCTCCAAGTGGACAATTATCTTTGTTGTTTATATATGCCCCTATTGTATCTTATCTCTATATGCTATTATCTGCAGTTATAATTTATTGTTGTTTTTCAGATCTTTCTAAACGAATATTTTAATTTTTATGATTTTCCAATGTAGAAGCAATTTTTTCAACTATCTATATAGAATTCATTGCAATAAATCTAGTAATCCATTATCTTGTTACTTTTCATTAAGTGAAGAGTTAGGGTCACTTCAATTGAGTCAAATGTACATGTATGTATTAATAGAATATATGTTCAAAGTGTTTCTTCTTTATCACTGGTAATCATAAAAGTAGTCTTCCTACAGTTTATAATTTCATAATTTCAAAAAATCAGATCTTTCAAATAAATCTAAGTTAATTCATATTTTACTATCATAGTATCTGTGTTAAAGTATATATTTGTATTTTTGTTTATTAGGAATTATGGACATGGACAAAATTATGCAGCTGTGTTGGCAGTATATGCTTTCTAATATCTGATACACTACTTGGTATCCATTATTTTCGTAATCCATTACCGTACTCTCAGGTATGTTTAAACATTAACTCAATTTACATTAGTTGAATAATCCAACAATTTTACTTTGCTTTCAGGTGTCTATCATGTTGACATATTACACAGCTCAATTAGGAATAGCTTTAAGTGCAGTAGATTCAAAAAATAATTACAATACTGTTGATAGTACAAAGCCTGTTGGTAAAATCAGAAAATAAAACAAAGTTATCTTTTAAAATGACATAGAAGAATAGGTGGCAATGAATTTTAGAAGTATAAAAATATTAAATTGATAGATGTAGAGTATATCTTTATAATTAGAGATATTACTTTACTTTATTATATGTGGTAAAGTTTTTTTCTCTATTCTATAATACTATTAATCTATCACTGCCAATAATATAGGCATGAATTTATCTTCAACAACTCACTCACTATATATACAGTGTCACTTTAGATATAATACTATATCACACATATAATGAAAGATGTATTTGAGAATATCAGTATATTAGTAAATGTATTTGGAAATACTTTTATCCACTAAATCGATGTAACTAATGCATCTATTGTTATACTTGCATGCACGTTTATGCATGTGTAATCTAAAAATCGTTGATATAAAACCGTTAGATATGTTCATTGTTATAATAATAGCAAATATTTCTCTTAATGAATAATGTTACTCTTTATGAGCTTAGTACGAACAATTCTTAGTTTAATAACAGTAAACATTTTTTTATCCTTTTAAAAAGTATATAAACTTTGCACATACTTTCTCCTAGTAAAGTTGTATATATTTTTATGAAAACAAAATGCTTATTATTCAGTTATTGATACTATAAAGTCATGTTCTTTCATGACAAGATCTCTATAATTATGTATATTCGCATACCATTTCTTCGGACCAATATCAATTGATATAGTACCATATATTAGACAGTTGATTATACTTGCCTTACACTCTGTGTGTAATCCCTTCATAACATAATAATGAAAAACACTACATCACAACTCTAAATGTTACAATGAATCTGTACATTTTAAAAAGAATTTTCTAAAAAGAAATGTGTCAGATATTTTGTATTCTATATGGCAACAAAATCATGTAATGTTTGTTCTATAGACATATGTAGAAACGAAAATAGAACAGATGATGACAGATTTTCTATATATAAAATATTAGTTTATTTAAAGGTGTGAACAGAAAATTGAAAAATTAATCGTTCAATGATAAAATTTATTATTATTACGATTTAGTAAATGACTAATTTGAATAATCTTTCAATATTCCTAAACGTATGCTATATATAAATATTAAATTGTATTTGATGCAAATATTATTTGAAGTATGAAGAATGATTTTTAATGATTTAATATTTATATGTATGTACAACTTATGTACATGTATGTATGTATTTATGTAATATTCCTATATGTATTCTAGCTCGCAATAAGTTACTGTGGTGTAATATATTTGTTGATATATCAGAGTATGTATAATGTAATGTAATAGATAAAATGTATTTTGAATAGACAAGATGGGCAATATATTTTAGTGATAATAAAGCAGAAATATTACTAAGATTTCATACTGTACAAATCTACGTTTTAAACAAAGTCGTTAAGATTGTAATATACATACATATATATAATATACATATACATATATGTATATATATATATTTATATATTATATAGTGATATAGCACTGCAGATTACAATATAATACAATGTTCATATCATCTATCTTTAAGTTTACTCTTTCACCTCTAACTGCCGTATAATAGAGAGTTAGACATAATATCCAAGAAGGTGTAATAAATAAGTCTTTGTGAAGAATTCATAGAAATTCTTAGTGTTAAAAATGAATGTTATTACGTACACAATGTGTTATACAATAAATATGATTTCAAAAATTTAATTATGGTTAGAGGTTTTATATAATTTTTAATCTTACAATATCTCTAAATGATCGAAATGTGACGTGAATACAGCGCGAGAAGCGTAATTTAATATAATAAGTTAGAGAGAAGAACGTTGTAAACACATCTCTGTTTTTACCAAAAGAACTTGGATGTTATCTACAAATGAAATATGCTTTGAATGTGCTTGTTATAAAGATTCATATATGTATGAATTAATGTCATTGATAATTCGAAAAATATATGACTATCAGTAATCATTCGAAAGTTAAAGATATCGGTATGTTTATGTTATCAATTTCTTGGAAAATCAATTAAGAAAATGTTTAAATCCAACCGCCCATAATTTGACCGGTCGCTTTAGACTTTCCACGTAATTTTGTCGTAGCCACTGGAACATTATCTTCTTGCTGCTTTGAAATCTTTGGTACTTCTTTATCTGTTCCCTCTTTCTTCTTTTTCTCTTCCTCTTTCTTCTTTTTCTCTTCCTCCTCTTTCTTCTTTTTCTCTTCCTCCTCTTTCTTCTTTTTCTCTTCCTCCTCTTTCTTCTTTTTCGATTCCTCTTCTTTCTTCTTTTCTTCTTCTTCTTTCTTTTTTCCATCATCTACATTTTGATCCTTGGCTGGCTCTTGGGTTGCTTTACCTTCATCAACTTTGCCAGATTTACTTGCTGAAGTTTGTGCCTCGTCTGATATCTTGCTGACATCATCCTCTCTCGGATCTTCAGGTATTGGCGATGGAGTTCTAAGTTCTGCAGGCTTTCCATCTGGTATTAACTTATCACCCTGTTTATCGATACTTCCAGCGCTCATTGATTTTAATATTCCTTTCTTCAGAGATTCTGATAAAATTAACTTTGGACGTTCACCTTCGCACATTTTTACCTTCACACTTGATCTTTGAGAGGAAGTTGCATTCTTTCCTTCTCCTGCTCCTTCTCCTTCTCCTGCTTCAGTTCCTGTTTCATCATTTTCATTTTTATTACCCTCAACAAAATTGGATTTACTCAACAAATGTTTTAATGTACATACAAATTGAGTATCTATATATTATTGACTGACCTTCCGTATCTTCAACTTCATCAATCTGCTTAATTCGTTTCATCATGAATTTGGCATAAGCGATTCTCGTCGTAGGCGTCACTTCGGATAGATTTGGATTATATTCGAGCAGACGATTAGGATCAAGAGACGCTAAATCGGAATTTGCTTGACCCCGCATACTTCTACGAATACTCCGTCTCGTTTGCTTTGCGAATGCCTCATTCGAACTTCCTATTGGATCTTTAGCAAACGTGTTCTGTCGAACAACGGCATTCCAATCTTTCTTTTTACTACCGCTACCTTTACGTCCGATCGCTTTAGCAATTTGACTGAACACATCTTTCGGTTCTTTTTCATTTGCTTGTATAACTGCATTCACGATGCCTTCTACTATACCAATCTGGAAATCCTTTTGCAAGCGACGTTCCATTACTCGACCCTTTTTACCAGATACTACGAACAAATATACATTAGTTTATATACCTAAGTATATGTGGTGGGGCATTTAAGTTTGAATACCTAAATATTTTCGTTATCTATGGTTTTATGGAAGAAGTCCTTAGGACAAGATTATACTATTTAATAGGGCACATGTAGCGATAAGATAATTTGTTTTCCAAACTTATTTTTTTGAAGTGATTTCAAGGTACTAGGATTAAGGACTTCTTCCATAAAAGAAATAAGGAAGATATTTAGGTGTTCTCATTTAAATTCCACATTCTGTATAAATAAGTTTAAAATTTAACTAATAAGTTTAAATTTTAACTTTAAATTAAAATTTTAAATAGTAGTGATTTTTAATAAAACATTGTATACTAATTGCTACCAACATGCAGCGTCCTGTTTATCAAGAGTCGGCGTTCGCATTCCATTCTGACGGAGAATGTCGATTAATTCATATCGTAATGTCGAAATGTCTTGTCGAATTTCCATGACATCGTCTTCCGTAATACCAAATTCATCACGTTTTCTTTGTTCCGCTGTCACGTAACGACGAATAAGTAATCGCATTACGGTGTCATGCCTGATCATTGCTTTCTCTCGTGATTTTTTCTAAAATACGAGTTTATAATTAACAAAAACGTGTCCTTTAAAAATAATATAAATGACGAGAATAAAATAAAGTGCAAAAGAATAAATATGCTTACGATCAAAGACCGTGTAGGTCGTGAAGTTTTGCCACATTTAAGAATCTTGTCAAAAGTTTTACTCGTTGGAACCATGTTAAACGGTGGTGGCACAGTGTCACCATCTTCAAAGTAACTCATCCAAAGATGACTTCGTGCAAATTTCCACTCTGTATCAGCTCTTTCCTAAAAATAACAAAATTGCGTTCATTTTCTCCTCCTGTTTCCTTCTTTATTAGGAATGGTAACACTTTTATTGTTTTATAACAATACCGAAATGATCTGATAGGAATTAGACATCATAGCAATTAACATATTGAGTAATACAATAACGTTGATGACCGAATATGATCCAAACATAAGTAGAGCCCAGAATCTTGTAAAACTTTTTATTCCGGTTAGATCGAAAGACATCAAATCTACCATACCAAAACTTGCCCAAAATAGTGACTGTGAGGTTTCAAAAAGGCTAAAAAGAAAATAAATAAATACGTTTAGTAAATCATATTTGATTTTATTCGAAGGATTAAAAATATCTTTTTTATACTTAGCAAATCTTCTCCATATCGAGCAAGCTTTTTCTTGATTATCAAAATCCGGCAATCCGTTAGGCATATGATAACATTTCATCTTTTCCAAGTCAGCATAATACCACATTAACTGATTCATACCACAGCCAAAAGCGAATAGAACGAGAGTATAAATAAAGAAAAATTTAATAATATCTATTATCATTCTACCTAAAGAAATCTGTAAAGGTCCAAGATGTGGATTTACACTGAATATGTGAACGAGTTTCAAGAAACTGAAATATATAGATGTAAAAAAATTATATAGGGAAATTTGTACAATTTTGAGAAATATTTATTATGAGAGTTGATAAAAAAATTTACCTAAATATCATTCCAGCGGCAAAGGCTCCTTCCGAGAGAAGCATAGGATCGAAGGCATGCCATTTATCCCTTGGATACCAAGGATCCTCTCCACTCCAATATTCCCTCTATGTAAATCAAAAAAATAATATCCAAGTACAGAGACCAAGTTCGAAATGAATAAAAAAAAAAACAGTAGAGCATAATCAAAACTGTACCTGTACTATAAACCAAGCAGTCATTCTCATACCTATCCATATAACGTAGAACGTATTTTGTATAAAGTCCACTATATTCCATAAATCTGATACATACTCGATTAATCCGTCCGACCATAATGATCTTATTTCTCCGATCACTAAACCTACGGTATTTATAAAAGTAACAATTAATTTGTGCTTATTGCCAAATGTATTCCTATAAATTATGTATCTTCATTATATAAATCACCATTTTTCCTGATATTTTCTTTTTTTCAAATCAAAATAAAATTGATTTACTTATTACGTAGATAATAACGCCAGATTCAACAAAACCCGGAATGCAACCTCGCTCTCGTCTCTTCCATCCAGCAAGTATTTCTCGCATCCATACATTACCAAATAATTCGATAGCCAAATATTCAATCCGTTGAGATGCCATTCCGAGTAACACTGTAATTTATATTGACTTTTTCCTTATAAAACGTGTACGCGATAAAAAGAGAATTAAAATATTTACTTACTGAGAAAAAAAGCGTAAGATGAAGAGTGACAAATAAATTTAACAAATGGTTTTTTCATAAACAAACCCATTTGTGAAGTAGGAGACATCATATAAATTGTACTATACACAGGAAACATAGCACCGAGTTTTCCAACTTCGATTAGTTGACCGATCATACTTTTTCTTCTGAAACCAGGTAGACCATCGTACCAAATAGCTGCTAATAATTGTTGTACGTTCGGATGAGCTACGAACTGAAGAGCAAAAAAAATTAATCAATATAAGATTTATTTGAAACATTTTTGGAAAAAATGCACAATATTCAAAGTATGTGAGTATATATTAAACGAATTCTCTGAAAGGACGAGTCCTTTATGGAAGGCAACACCTTGCAAGTATGAAACATGCATGTATAAAAGAAAATATATTTAGGGGCTACTTCTGAGATGATGTTCAAATTTTCGGGAATGATGAAGAAGGACACAAGCATCAATATCAGATAAAGTACCTTACGTATAATCTTATAATCTACATAAACGTATATATCTTATCCTGGTATAATATAATGTAATAAGATAGTAGATAATGCTCTAATATAAACAATTATGTTTTCTTATTCCATTTTGGTTGACGTGGTTTTGCCTAATAACTTTTGACTGATGTATTTTCGGATCTGGATATTTTATTTGATATTAATGTTTATGTCTTTCGTCCCTAAAAATTTCAAACATCGATCCGGAAAAACTCTATGTATACATTTACCTGCTTTTGCTTATATTTTATGGCTAATTTTAGTCTCTCTAACGTTTGTCGTTCTCCGGGTTCCCAATTATCTCCAGTAGGATTATAGTTAAGCATAATCTCTAATTCGTATGATGTACGTGCATGATCCAATAATGCAGTTGCAAAATGTTGCGTTTGCTCTCGCATTTCCTGAAAATATATTAAAATATTTAGACAAATCAAATTTATTCGAACAGAATTGAAAAACAGAATAGTTGAAAAAAAAATTACATTGTACTCAAATCGGAATTCTTGTTCCATTCGACTGAGACGACGTAATTCCCATGAAAGTTCAAAAGCCGTTAAAAGAGGATCTCTCGAAGATAGAGCGATAAGAGACGGTGATGTTAAGGCTTTGTATGCGTTTATACGAGATTGTGAATGCCGAAGGGAGTCTTCTTCGCTCGAAATAACGCACTCGTCGCAGCCACATCTAGAAAGTCGTAGAGCAATCACATTAAAAA